CCCGCATAACCAGACACCGGACGCTGACACGCCTCATACATCTGGGGAATCCCCCCTACATACCTTGAGGACTACATACCCGACCACCACCTGAGCGGGGGTGAGGGGGGGAGCTTAATGAGCTCAGGTGTTTGGGACGGTCGTAGTCCTCAACCACACTACTCTCTACCTGTGTGTTGCTGGAGACCTCTGCCAGAGTGTTACTAGAGACCCCTGCCAGCGTGTTGCTGGAGATTTATTTAACGAACTTTATATATATATATATATATATATATATATATATATATATATATATATATATATATATATATATATATATAACTGCGTTGTTTGTAAGAGCATGCTAGAGATACTGTGAGTAAAAGTTACAGAGCGTTGTTCAGGCCATGAAGGTCTTAATTCTCTCTTCTGTTCTTTGCCAGGGTCCACATTATGCTCTAATCCCTTACTGTTACTATGATTCAACCTCTTTTGTCTTGCGCTCAGATTATGTTCCATCATATATGTTCTCTGCGTCCATGGCGTGCTTAGCATGTTCCAGCATGCGTATATCCCTTGTCTATCCAGTCAGTTGAAGATCATGCTTTCAAATAACCAGTTAAATTATGTTAACCCATGTTACTAGCTAAACCAGGCTGTGACTTGCTTAGCTAACTGAATTTTGAGAGTCAGTTTTTGAGCTAATTATTTTTCTCTGTAACATTCTCCACTGCCGTTCACAGGGTGAGTTTAGGGTGCAAAATACATTACTTAAATTAAAAAAATTATATGGGGTCAAATCTGATAAAAAACTAATTTGTTTGTATATTTTATTGATATAGTAGTATGTCATGAATGAATACAAATAACAAGTGCGAAATTGCAACGTATAAATGTATAAAAAAAAATGGATTTAGATTAAGATTAAGTAAAAAGTTTGTTGCTGACCTCTGGAGGGTTATTAAGGCCACTTCACTACTGACCAACCTGCAAGTATCCTTATGAGTCCTGAACATGGTCCAGGACAAATGCTCACTCTCAGTGTATATACACCGAGAAGCTGAGAATTTTTGAGTCAGAAATATTACATTCAATTTATGATTAACATTTCATACAAATATTCTTGAAATATTTGCACGCCCCAAATTGTCTCCTCTAACTAGTAAACAATAGCTTGTTTATACCAGGACGACCGACACAACCATGGCACTCACAAGTAAACATTAACAGAATAAGCAACTGAAGCGTTCGTGGATTACTGTAATCCGACCGCTACTGTAATCCCGTCGTTCGTACAATATGCAGCTGTGTACTATACTGAACAATGTTGTCCAGTACTGAAATATCAGAATGATTGAAACTCACCACATTACCAGCATCTTGATCCAACAGGCATTCATACACACACACACACACAACCTACACTCAACCACTACACCAAAGCCAATGAGTCACCTCGCTGGAAACGACGTTAATGTAACAATGATTCAAAGTTGAACATATTGATCCAACATTGATTTAAATGTGTAAGTGATGCTAGAATATCGTTAAACAGTTGCTGATCCAGCAATGGTTCACCGTTATTCAAACTTAATGTTGTTTAACCTGCTGGGAATAGACAGTAGCCTAAACCTTTCTCTGTTATTCGCTGTTATGAAGCAAATTATGAATAATGTATCATCATGAAGTGGATAACAGTTACAAATATTAGAGTGTAAAATGAGACTCAGTAGATACCCTCACCTGACCACAAAGGTCACAGGAGCCTACTGAAGTCTGCGCTATTCCGATATTGTGGATAAAACTCTAATGTCTTCTTCCTCAGCGCAGACGATTCGTAGATTTTCCATTTATAAATCACTTTTTGAAATTTCAAGTGATAGTTAATATATCATCAGTTTTATTAATTTTCTTCGTGTGTGAAGCCATACTAACAACAGTATGGCTTCAAAAGATGTCAAAAACTTGGCTTTACTTGACATGTGGAAAGTCACGCCATGTTAATCCGTATTGTCCCAACCTGTCCTCTTACAACGAATGTCGCATTTCCATCGTCTGCGTTACCTAAGGTAAAAAATTGTCGTACTAGAAAACGGAAGCGACTCGCGAAAGTGACGTACGGTCCCGTTTTCTGTTTTGGGTCCTCAGATAAGTTTAATTTACTGGGTTTCTTGACGTTGGGAAATATTAGGATTACGGGCAATCAGCCCGTCCTCCTAATATTTCCTAACGTCAAGAAATTCTCGTACTAAAGTGCCCTTACCTTAACCTACCAAAGGACAGGAAACTGGACAGTGTCAATTTTGCGGGCTGCTACCATTTTCTAGTATGATAATTTTTGGCCTTATGGAGAAAATGTCAAAATGCTACGCTCTATTAGGAGGACGGGTTGATTGATAAGTCAGACTTAATTTGACTCTAACAACAAGTCAAATTGACAAATCGACTCTAACAAGAACTTTTTATTGTTCCGAGAACCAATCACATGCCTTTATTGCTAGGTCCCCACACCCCTTAAGGAATCTGGATACGTTGGGGTGTTAATAGAAGGGTTAAGACCCCAGCTTTAGCGTATAATACAGATCATGAAGCAAACTTCCACTCACATAACATTATTGGGCTCAACCTCGAGTTTCTCACATTACTGTGAACGTTTAAAAATCCTAACAGTATTGGTCGATTAAAGCAGCACAAGCTAATAAGCCAGCCTAACCTAACTGCAGTTATAATAAATCAGCAATTAAACTAAACAGCAGGCAACCAAATGACTGGATAAATCTACACATGGTTAATAAAAATAATAATAATAATAATAATAATAATAATAGATTTGTTCTTAAGTGTAAACGAATATTATTAAATATTGAAGGATAATGAAGTGTTAGGTTTAGGTTAGGTTAGGTGTTTTGATTATGTTGACTTAGGGAGTGTTTACAATACTGGCTGAAGGTGAAGGAAGCACGAGTTTTTGGAAGCCTTGAACATGGTCAGGTTAGTTGTAAGTCCAAATACTGACTTATGTAGAATTTTTGTAGTCAGTATTTTACTTATACGTTGTGAACCACACAGCAGTTTGTTTTGATGACAGGCTGAATCAGCCCGTCCTCCATCAAAGACCCAAAAGTGATTCCATACACCTGCCAAACCCCCTTGTTTATAAATGAAAAACGATTTACACACGACTCACAACTGATGACGTTTGAACACTTCCGGAACAAGTGCTTCTCTGACGAATTTTGGTCGAACCACAATGCTATAAATGCTTCACCCCATGAACTACAAATACAAATAATCACCAACAGAGCCTATACACCTAACCTAATCTATGCCTATATATATGCACAATATGCTAATATATTATAATACTAGCTGTACCCGGCCACAGTAACCTTCCCTGTCTCCCAGTTCTCCTCACCATTACCCCCTCCCCTTTCCCCTCATCCTCTCAACCATTCCTCACTCCCCCATCCCCTTCTCCTCTCAACCATTCCCCACTTCACCGTTCCCTCGTACTCTCCACCATCTCCCACTCTCCCATACCCTCGTCCTCCCTACCATTCCCCCCTCTTCCCCATCCCCTCATCCTCCCCAACAACCCCCACTCCTCTGTCCCCTTGTCCTCCCCACCATTCTCCATACCCTCTCGTCCTCCCCACCACTATCCCCGCGTCCTCACCACCATCCCCTTACTCCTGTCCCCTCGTCCTCCCCACCATTCCCCACTCCCTCGTCTGATGCATTCCTAAATGATCTGTTCTTCCCTTCAGAAAATTGAGAATATCAAATGATCTGATGTTCCCATCACTGAAATATAAGAAAAACAGTAAAAAAAACGAAATGGAAAAACAATAAAAAATAAAAAAATAAACTATACTTACGAAATGAACGATATGGTAAACAACACAGCTCAATTCCAATGCAATGTCACACAAAATTATTAAATCAAAATGAAAAAAATTGAAATCTATGAAAATTCAGTTTATCAATGCAATCAGAAACATGGAAATGGAATCGTAACATATTTAGTATAGCATGTGCTGCTATTATGTGCAACAGATGGGGCTGTTTAAAAAAAAATGTTGTTACTGGTCACAGGTGTGGCATCTATATAGTAGGTATATAAAAACATGAACGTATTTAAATGGAACGTTGCATCAAAATTTCAAAGCAATCGGTGAAAAACTTTCAGAGATTACATTGTGTGTTGCTCTTACGTCCAACAGATGGTGCTGTTTTTTTTTTTTTTTAAAAAAAGCATGTTTTTTCTTGTCACAGGTGAGGCATGTATATAGCAAGTATATAAAAACACGCGCCTATTTGAATGCAACATTGTATCAAAATTTCAAAGCAATTGGGAAAGAGGTTTCTAAGATTTCCCTCACATGAAAAACACATGAAAAGTACAGTTTAAAAAAAAACATATTTTTTCCCGTCACAGAAGTGACATCTATATAGTATGTATATAAAAACACACTCGGATGCGAATGGAACATTGTGTGAAAATTTCACAGCAATTATGAAGAACTTTCGGAGATTAGCAATTTTGAACAAACGAACATTTGCAGTTTTTATTTATATAAATTAATTTATATTGATAAAATTCTCGTTTTGAATGTACAGCAAGTAAAAATTTATGAATGTGTCTGGGGTCGACCGCTGGATGTAATGGACTTGAGTCATGGATGGATTGGCTGAATACAGGCTGGAAGTAAACAAAGCAGGTTTTAAGTCAGCTTTGAACATGGTCAAGTTGACTATTAGTAATATGCTGACTTTTGTAGATTTTAGTGTCAATGTTTGACTTGTATGTTGGAGTTGTGCTCTGGGTGGCGTGGTGAGCAGTTGTTCCTCCTCTGCCTGTCCAATTGTTGATTGCCCGGGGTCGTAGCGGACTGCAGCTGGTGTGCTGATGCTTCGTGAATGATGGGGGGTGACCTCCCCTCATTTTGCGGGCTCACTCGTTGGGCCTGGAGTTTACCGGCAAGATTGATTATCCAGCGGTGGAGCTGGTATTGTGTGACATGCTACGAGTTGATGTGGCTGTGATCTATGGGGTGGAGTTGGTGTCTTCCCATCGTGCTATCGTGAAGTGTGCTGCAGAAGAGGATTACCAGGTGTTTTTGCTCCATGACGAGGGGCGGTCGTTTCCGCTGCCGGACGCTGCTGGTTTAGTCGTTGTCTCTGACCGGAGTGGTGCCCTTACTTTCATTAGTGTACATGGTGCGCCCCTCGAGTTCCCGGAGGAGCTGCGGCGGAGGTATTTCGGGCGGTATGGCACTGTCGTGAGTGTCAGATTGCATCTGCTTTCCTCTGGGAAATTTATGGGTGTTCGGACCAATATTCGCACTCTGGGGATGCGGCTGCGGTCGGGCATACCGTCCTCTGTGCGGCTCATGGGAAATTACGTCCGTGTATATTACGCACGTCAGCCATGCACCTGTTTCCGCTTTGGTTTGTTGGGCCACATGGCTGCTGGGTGCTCGGTGGATGTCGTCACTCCGTTGAACCTTTTTTGTGAAGAAGATTTCCTGCCACTAGTTGTGGAGGAGGACTCGGTGGGTGGTGACGCAAGTAACTTAAAGGGGAAGGGAAATAAAGGCAAAAACTTAAGATTATAATTATTAAATCATCACCAAATAAATAATATAAGATTACACAGGGGGAAGGGTATTAACACTTTACACAATCGTCTTCTCCTGAAGACTCTGCATCCAAGCTCTCGGTGCTTTCGTGGCCTCACAACGAATCCTTTGAGAAGCTGAGCCTACCCTGGCCACAGGTCAGCCAAAACACAGGTCCACTGGGGGCACCACCGTGGAGGCCGTCAACCACAAGTCCAGCAGGTCTGCTGGCAGGTTCCGGACCAGCAACGCTGGTAAGGCCACTCCTCGAGCGATATTAGGGTAACGCCCTAGACAGGAGCCTCGTGTGATACCACAAATCACTCTCCTGTCCTCAATACCCCAGTGGATAATCGTCTCCAGCAGTCGGTCCCGGGTAATCCTTCTACTGCCACTCCACTGGCAGGGTAACACCACAGTGTTCTTCCGGGGGGGACGACTTCACAGCTGCTGCAGCAAAGCACAAGATATAGAGATGGCTGCCTTGGGTAGACTGACTCAACTTCCATCACAGCAGTCCCAGGTCGACTCTGTAAGCAGACACGTCATCAATAACTGGGACACACTAAGGCACCTCACTTACAGGCTCAGACACAAACGCCCAACGTATCTACTCCATAGATGGCGTTGTCGTCTGAGCACCACCTCACCAGAGGTCAGCAGCGGCGGTGTTGTGAGCTAAACAGGACTGGAAACTGGCCCTTGTGGCCAGTACACTTCGTCCTCACCAAGTGTCTTCGTCCATTTGGAGGGGGTTTGTGGACGACCCTGATGGCTGCTGTGTCACGTCCAGTGTCGGATGCTGGATCCGGGTCCGTACACCTCCCCACCAAAAAGAATTTGGTTTGGGCTTCTAAAAAGAAAAACACAAACCAAATTAGTATGTGGATACAACTCCACACAGACTCACGTACACTATGAACTGGAGTGATGAGGCTGTCTTGTCCACAGAACTGTTCTACTGGACAACTCTCGCACAAAGGGAACTTGAAGATAGAAGGCAATGACCTGCCTGATGTACTTTTCCACACCTCCACTGCGAGGGGGGGCATCATCTCACATCTCTCGAGTAAGGATCGATATCGACCCGATCTAGGGCGACTCGACACTTCCCTATGTCGTGGCACCGATGATGGCTGGTTACAGACGGTATTTCTAGTACCGGTCCGACGGTCCTTCAGGGAGTCGGGCACCTGGAATACAGGGGTCTGATCATTTAGAGTGACAGCGACAGCGGGTAAAACAGTACTTACAGCATACTCCTCCACTAGGTCCACACCTAGTCCCAACGGGGCTGTTCGTACATTGAAGATGGCATTCGCTCTGCCACCGTCAGGTCGACCAACGTTCCGTATAACGCTGCATTGAGGCTCAGCAATCACGCGGGGGGTGTCAACCTGCCGGAAACAGTCACTCATATTATCATTTCTCGTACCTCCTGTATCTACCATTACCTTCCAGGTCCCTTCTTCAACTGCAACATTCACTGTGCATGTCTCCAATCCCTGGGACCTCTTCATGGTGTTCACGGGAGCCATCATCTGCCGGGTCGTCCACTGGTCCTCACTGAGAGCACACACAAGAACAAAAAATACCGCTAGGAAACATTTGGTTAATTTAGGGATAAGCTTCCTGAGCCTGTCATGTCCATAGCAGGCTATATCCATTAGCCTAGTTTGGACCAAAGAGGGCACTAAAACCTTCGCAGATACCTCACATACCTCTGACGTCTGGGGAATCTCTGGCCGGTTCAATGAACGTGGTATCTTGCCATACCGCAAGTACTCGTCTACCTTCGCTCCAGACTCTGGGGTATTCGTGGGTGCTTGCACACGAGGCCTCTCTTCTTGCTCAGTTGCTTCTGCCTCCTTAACCGCATGTTCCTTATCGGGAGAAGAATCGGGAGACTCTGCTAGAATATTGTTGACTCTGTCGTCAATCTGTAGGCGAGAGGAAGGATTAAACATACCTAAATCCGGGTCTGTCTTTACCTGGACATTACCACTGCCTGTTGTTACCTCAGACCTTGCTGTTCCGGCCGACTCGTCCACGATCTTGGGATGATTGGTGCTCCAATCTGTCACCAAGTCGTTGGCTAGTACCACGTCAATCCCAGCTACAGGGAGGGTATCGACTACTGCCAACGCACATGTGCCGCTGAAATAAGGCGAGTCGAGATGTACTGGCACTAAGGGGGCGATGTACTGCGTCCTTGGAAACCCAACCAGGACAACCTCTTGTCTCCCATCCACACTCACCCCCTCGGGTAACGAGCTTCTCACGATCAGGGACTGGGCTGCTCCACTATCTCTGAGCACTACAACTGATCTACCAGTATGATCACTCGTTACATACCCACTTGAAGTGTGAGGGGCGAACAAACTTGGTCCTTCCTGCGTCGCCGTCGACTGGCTTCCTGCTGGTGGTGTAACATAGCTCATCATCATCACCTCCCTACGTGCGCCGCCACCTCTTCTGCCTCGGCACATAGCAGCTACATGCCCTTTCTGCCCACAAGTCCAGCACACCACATTCCTCCTTGGACTCCGGTGTTTCGGACTGCTAGGACTCGTCCTTCGAGGGCTACTTGGGGGCGTCTTCTTAGCGCTTTGTGGGACGGGTCTTTCCTCTTCGTCATGAGGTCTGTCAAACCGGCGTTGGTAATTCCTCGGGACGTACTTAGCAGACGGCCTATGAGTCAAGATGTATTCCTCAGCAATTGTGGCTGCGCCCTCACCGTCTCCACCGTCTGCTATTCTGCTACTCTTCGTCTCCTGCGCCTGACCCTCTGCCTTCTCCTGCTCGAGCTCCTGTCCACCTTACGTCCCCGCCGCTTGTCCCGCTCCATGATGGGTGAATGGAGTGTGTGTGAGGACTCCTGCTGTATTGCGGCCGGTACCACGTGTCGCTGAGCACCACTTTCTTCACCCTGTCGTAATCGCTGGAGTCGTCAAGGGATAACGTGGAGTAAGCGATTTGGGCCTTCCCAGTCAGGACTGACTGTATCATGATGGCCCAATTCTCCCTTGGCCACTCCGAAGAGGCAGCGACTTTCTCGAAGGCTGCGAAGAACTTCGAAACTTCTCTCTCGTTGAATTTTGGGACCATTTTTATGTTTCTCACCGGATCGAAACTACTGGCTTCCGTCGTTGGCCTCCGACCACCTAACCGTAATACTTCTAGCTCATGTTGTCTCTCTCTTTCCTCTCTGTCTCGTCGTTCTTGTCTGTCTCGTTCTTCTCTTTCTCTCTCTCGTTCTTCTCTTCTTTCTTCTCGTTCTAATTCTAAACGCCTCATCTCTAATTCTTTTCTCAATCTCTCTCTTTCCATTTCTTGTCTTTCTCTTTCCATTTCTAATTTCTTATCTTCTCTCTTTCTCGCTTCCTCTTCTCTCTCTTTAGCGATCTCTAGCTTTTTCCATTCTATTTCTCGATGGATCTCTAGTTCACGCATTTTCACAGTAAGCACACTTATATTTAGTTCACTCTCATCACTTTCGACATCACTGCTCTTACCTTCCTGTTCAGTGGAAGCTATTTCCTCACCTTCCTTTATACTAGGAGTCTCGCCTTCCTGTTTCTCTTCTGCCTTCAAATGTCGGTGAACCTTGGACAAGATCTCCACACGGGAATCACTGGCACGGATCTTGATCTCCAGGTAGGCGCTCACTAGTACAAGTTCCGGTTTGCTCAGATATTTTAATCTGGCAAGACAGTCCTCTCTGTTCAGAAAAGCCTGAACATCGTCCAGATCATCGATGGTAGCTTTTTCTGCCATTGTCACAGACGGAACACTTGACTAGCACTTAACACACCGCTTCACTTTAGCACTTAACGCACCGAGCACTGTTCTACGTCAATATTGCACTTTATCGCACCAAACACTGCACTTGCCAATATTGCACGTAATTACTTCGGGCACCGCAGTCCACAATATTGCACTAAATCACAGCGAACACTTCGCGCTACAATATTGCACTGAATCACGCCGAGCACCGCACTACTCAATATTGCACTTAATCGCTTAGTCACAGCGAGCACCGCACTGCGCAATATTGCACTTAGACACTCCGAACACCACTCAGGACGTATAACGTCCCAATCGTTACACACAGGGCGAATTATTTACAGGGATTACGCCACTTCACCACCCCTGTCGAACATACTTAACAAGGGGTCGGACCCCGCAGGGGATGCCAATTATGTTACGGCCCTCTCGGGTCGCAACTGGGTTCTTACTCTGATGTTGTTAGAGGAAGTTGTATCCGGCCCCAAGCCAGTAGTGGCTTTCAAGGGATGAGATCCGTGACGCAAGTAACTTAAAGGGGAAGGGAAATAAAGGCAAAAACTTAAGATTATAATTATTAAACCATCACCAAATAAATAATATAAGATTACACAGGGGGAAGGGTATTAACACTTTACACAATCGTCTTCTCCTGAAGACTCTGCATCCAAGCTCTCGGTGCTAAGTCCTCGGTGCTTTCGTGGCCTCACAACGAATCCTTTGAGAAGCTGAGCCTACGCTGGCCACAGGTCAGCCAAAACACAGGTCCACTGGGGGCACCGCCGTGGAGGCCGTCAACCACAAGTCCAGCAGGTCTGCTGGCAGGTTCCGGACCAGCAACGCTGGTAAG